CACACACACACACACACACACACACACACACACACACACACACACACACACACACACACATAATTAATTCATCATCGTCGTTAATAATTTGAAAATTTCTTTGTTTTCAGTTATGGCAGTGACCTGGTGGCTGTTGATAGTTTTAATGAAAACAATGTCGTGGGAAGAATAGCATTGTCAAGCAACGTAAACGGCTATTGGATAGGTGGGTATGCTCTTCTGACTATTCCTAATTCTTTCTCTCTCTTTAATTCTCCTTCGCTCCTGTTTCCTCGTCGCCGCCTCCTCCTCCTCCTCTTCCTCCTCCTCCTTATCCTCCTTCTCCTATTCCATCATTCTCCTGCTCCCCCTCTTCACCCCCTCTCCTCCCCTCATTCTTTTCGTCCTCTTCCACCTCTAATTATATCTCCACCTCATCTACCATATTTCCCCCATACCTCAATCTACTGTCCATTACATTAGCTTCCTTGATCATCTACTTCCCTTTTCTTCCTTCTCCTACTGCACCTGCTATTCTCATCAATAGCAATTCTTTCTTCGAATGTTTTGATTTGCGGGAAAAAAACGATTCGCACATCGCAAATTTCCAGTTAAATGCGTACGTCAGCTCATTATATCCACAGGGGAACGAATTTTGCTGGTAAATAATCATCCAGTGTAGATTTTAATTGGGGTGATTGTGTCCGCGGCTGTAATAATTGCTGGTAGCAACACTCCCGACTGTGCGGAGATCGTAGCGTATAGATGTAGACGTAGAAACCTCGCCATGCGCCGTACTCACGAAGCGTCCTTCACAAACCAGTTTGCTTGAAATCATTGACCGTTCGCAACGAGGTATTCCCCCTGAGTAAATAAACAAGTGCAGTAGCTTATTTAAATAGTGTTAATTGGAACCGCGCTTAAGGGCTATAGATGGGCTATAACGCACGAACCTTTCTCATCTAATCAAACGGCCGCTGCTGTAGGGTTTCTCATCTAATCTATAATACTATAAGTTTATAATAATTAGAGAGCTAATCATACATTTATGCATTCATACATGTATTCATTAATACATGTATTAATAGCTCTCGATCTAATATAACGGTCGCTGCTGTAGGTTTGAACGCCCTCTCCGGTCAGAAAGGGTTTGAGTGGAGCGATGGGAAGCGGTTGGCACCGTTCCAAGGTTACTGGGCAGCCCGTCAGCCTGACAAGAGGATGGGCAGGTGCGTACAGGGGCAGATGGACCTCGCTACGTGGGAACCGCTGTGGAGCTTCACCACCTGTGAGAAGCTGTTGCCCTTCCTCTGTGAGACTGCTGCGTGCCTACCAGGTGAGTGTATAGGATTCCATTCTCTCATTATATGCGTGCTAGTTTGTGTTCTGTGATAGTAAACAGCCGTCATAGCCGTGATAGCCGTGATAGCCGTGATAGTAAACAGCATGTCAGGGTGCAGTTTGATGTGTGAAGATTCTTTTTGACAAGCTATATCGGAGAAGATCGCCACGCTGGTACATCCTGTTCCTAATGAGTGTGCTGATGACATATTTCATTGTGTGTGGAGGGCGGGGTTCGTGCGTCGTGCGTGCGTGCGTGCGCGCGTACACACGCACGCATGCACGCACGCGCGCACGCACACACGCCCCCCCACACACAAGCATTATTTAATGTGATGTTATTACATATATGTCGTATTTTTGTGTGTGAATCTCTTACATATATACTGTTGGATGTCATCAAAGTTAGACAAATCTGGCACAACTTCGCGTATACGCTGCGCACAGCATCAGTTTGTGTACATGGTCCTATTTCATGAATATGTGGTCCAATTAACATCCGCACGGTTACAGTTTACGTACACCATATCACCCTTACGGGTAATGTATTCCAAACAGTATCCCAATAAGGAAACGTGTTGCAACGAACTTTAACTATGTCTTTGGGACAACCCTAGCTGTACCTCCAATTTGCGAGAAGGTGTGCACACCAGGCCATTGATTGTCTTTATAATACTTCCTGGTGTATGCTTGAAAATCAGTTTACGCTAGCATGGCAGATGGAAGTAATATAACGTTAGAGCTCTATAACGACAATACATGTAATCAAGAGCGTATCAAGAAGGCTTAAGAAGGAAACTGTCCCAGTACTGTGCCATTCAGCCACTCCCACGTCTGGATGCGTTTTTGAAGACTATAAAGTCCTTATCGCCCGTAGAAGCTTTGCAGGAAGGGGGAGAAACCCCTATGTCAACTATTCTCCCACGTTACTTTTCGCTTACAGATATAGTAACACAATAGTGCAGGGATCGCGGGGTCGTTGGTAAAATTTATTGAACATGACAACGCCATTAGGAAAAAATGTCTCGTCGACTAACCAGATAGATTGGATTTTGATGATTATAGTGTGAGATGTGTTGACAAGCTCTTTGGTAAATCGGTGTCCCCTGGTGTGTCCGTGTCTTCCTACGGTATCCCAGGGATGGCAATGTCCTCACGGAGTTAAGCTATCATCCATAACGTACATGTATGTGTCACGAATGGCAGATAGTTCATACATCATCATCACTTACGGCGTCTAACCATGTTCGAATATTGAGTGAGATTCCTGTGCTCGTGTGCGTTCTGGAGCAGATAGCGAACCACACTCCGCGTCGGCATTATATATCTTTGACAGCGACTCTCCACCTTCGCCCTATAACGATTAATATTCACCATTTCCCCGGGGCAAATTCTCAATGGTTAGAAACTGAAACAGGTTTTCATATATTTCGATGCGGACTTCTTTTGCATACGAAGTTCAATGGCAGCAAGCTAGGTGATGTTGTGTCCGAGCTGACTCGAACACGCTCGTATACCGCCGCGGCCACGTTGCTGTACGCGTTGTTGGGCTGTCTGTAGGGAAACTGGAATGATACCACAGTAGTTAAAATTCCTTCCGTCGTTCCTCTTTCCTCTGTCCCTCCGCTTGTGTTCGAAAATGGCGACGGGGTGATCCCCACCGACCGAAGATTGATGTAATGATGTACGCTAATCGACCTGACTGACGTCACGCGGGTAGTCCGATCGACCCTCGGCGAATTTTAGTAAAATTTACTGTTTTATATAGTCGCGAATGGGGAGGGGTCCGTCACTGATGCCGATGGCCATGTGGATGGGCAGACATGTGGATGGACAGACATGCGGTGCACCCACTCATTTACATAAGTGGATTTTCGGCGCACGATTTGTATGTCATCAGACCACTGGGCAGAGAAAAACCGGCTCTCGCAAACAAAAGAGAGACTTTATTTGTTTTCGCTGCTAGCCATTTAGATGAACGACTGCCCGCGGGGGGTTCGTTAAGTCTATCTGTGTGCATCTATCCATCTAGTGAAAACGAGAGGAGCCTCACCAGGGAACCTAATTCTACAGCGTGGACACGTGCAGCCCCCGCATACATTTATTTCTATATAAAACTATGCAGCAAGATTATCCTGGTTAGAAATAATCTAAAGGTTTCGAGTATATATGAGTTCTTCTTGTGTATTTTAGTCAACGCGGACGTTGGCAATTGACGATCTTTTCCTCTGTGCATCAACTCATATGTGAGGCTGAGAGAAGTGGAACGAATTGTATGCTCAGCCACTAATATGCCCCCAAATCTAAACTCCTAATTAACCAGAAATCGTAGAATATTGAGTTATTTCCACCTACTATACATACGTGGTTTGATTTAAGAGTTAGGATTAATTTGCTGACTTTAAAGCTATATATAGCTTGAAAAGGCCTAATGCTTCTTCCAAAAGTCATCCAAATTGTGGGGCACAGAGTTTTTATTAATCAGAATTTTTTAATTAGATTTAAAAAAAAACGAGTGAAAGTTGTATGTTTGTGGAAATGATCCCTCTAAACATATAATCATGTTGTGATGTTAATATCCTAAAACTGTTGTGCTCATACATCCGCTATACGTGCAAACACTGCTAACTATAAACCTTCATTCATCACGCATTTCCGTCAATGTAAGGGCTATGGATCCACCCACAATATTATTTTAAAGTCTGAAAAGGCAAATAATAGCATGAAACCAGAGAAAGTGAATATTCAATGGGCTTATAACAATAAATAGGATGTTATAAAGGAGGATGTGCGCATATTAGGAAATTACCGGCATATATATATATATATATATATATATATATATATAGTGTGTGGGTGCGTGCGTGCGCGCGTGCGTGTATGTGTATTTGTGCGCGTGCGTGCGTGTATATATAATACGTGCATTCATCTTCACATGTCTGATCTACATTATACAGTGCGCGAAATATCTCGTGCTAGCTACAGCGCCCTATTTTCGTTGCGACACGAGTTCCGGAAAGCCGGCAGCGTCGACGTCGTCGCCGTGTGAACGTGCGCGTGGCTGTCGGCGACCGGAGAGCGCTCAACGCAATGCTGCCCCGTGTAGAGAGAGAGAGAGAGAGAGAGAGAGAGAGAGAGAGAGAGAGAGAGAGAGAGAGAGAGAGAGAGAGAGAGAGAGAGAGAGAAAGAGAGAAAGCGAGAAGAGAGAGAGATGAGAGAGCGAGAGAGCGAAAGAGAGAGAGAGAGAGAGAGAGAGAGAGAGAGAGAGAGAGAGAGAGAGAGAGAGAGGAAGAACAGCGCAGCGCATTGTACGCGCGCTCACTCTCTCGTCCCATGGCAGGTCAACGACACGGAACAGCCCTCTCTCAGCACTTTCACTTCGGGCACCGCGGTTCGCCATGGCTGAGTAGCACGAATGCTCTGCCATGCCGATGCGGGGGCGCAAAACTCACGCTCCGTGGGTGACGTGAGATGCTGCGATGTGCAGAGCAGTATAGGTACAGACTGGTGCAGGATCCATTGGCCCAATAATTCCGTTGACACATCCGCTACTGGTACCACCTGTACCTCTATACTCAATGCGTCTTGGTCTACTTGAAACACTGTTCGTGTGGTGTGGTCCGTGGGTAACGTGGGAGCTGGCGATGTGCAGAGCAGTAGGTACAGACTGGTGCAGGATCTGGTGGTCCAATAATTTCGGTGACACACCCGCTATTGGTACCTCCTGTACCTCTATACTAATGGCGTCTAGGCCACTCCCCTGGGCAAAAAACTTGGTATCTACTGGAGTACTTTACGTTAGGGTTAGGGTTAGGGTTAGGTTAGTGTTAAGATAGGGCAGAGTAAGGGTTATGGTTAGAGTTAGGGTTAGTGAAAGGGTTAATTTAGTGTTAAGATAGGGTAGAGTAAGGGTTATGGTTAGTATTAGGGTTATGGTTAGAGTTAAGATAGGGCTAGGATTTCGTTAAGGAGATCATTAAGATTACTGGTAGATTGCGACAGTACTCAGGGGCCGTACCTACGAGCCACCTCAGACAATATTCACTGTAGACCTTCTCTCTACCGCTAATGTCTAGTCGTACACACACCCACTAGGATCCTCCCACTGTGCAGTTACCACACCCTACCATATAATACACGCGTGCATGATAGGTATCGCCAGCTGATCAGCTAGGCCATACCATACTCATATATACTCGCCTGTGTGATAGGTGCCATCAACTGCTTAGCTATACACTCTACCATACACACATACTTGCATGATAGGTACCTCTACGTGATGAGCTAGGCCACACCATACTCACCTTCATGATAGATATACACTCTACCATACACACATACCCGTATGCTAAGTACCTCTACGTGATGAGCTAGGCCATACCATACTCACATTCATGATAGATATACACTCTAACATAGACACATAACTGTATGATAGGTACCTCCACGTGACGAGCTAGGCCACACCAAGCTCACCTGAATTATAGATAGATGTCAACAATGTGTATAGGTATGCGCGTCAGCACCCTAAGAAACCTGATCATTATCCCCGATAACCTCGTTTCGACCATCATTAAACCCCCGCTGCTATTTAAAATCAAGACGTCAATGCGAAACTTCCAATCTCTCTTCAACGCTGAACGGACTATAGAGATGAAATGGAAAGAATGAGATGAGATGAGATGAGATGAGATGAGATGAGATGAGATGAGATGGAAAGATGGACTGAATAGAGATGAAATGGAAACGCGTGAGCGTTGTTGTCACATTAATTTAGCCCATTTCACACGGTGGTTTTCTATACAGATCGTGTATAATGATGTGGTGAATTCTCTGTATATTCGAAGATATACTACATGGTCTATGAATCGTTGAATAGTTATAAGCAATGCTATATATAATTGGTTTGTTGCTGTATGATACATGTGATAGAACATGTGATTTCAGGTATAGCAGGATCTTCTTATATGTGCCGCTTTACATGTTTTGCTATGTAAAGAGGTTAAATAATAGTCAATACGTAGAAATATAGGCGTAAACCGGTACAAACAATCATCATAAATAGATAAATTTAATATAATTACACACACACCACAAGTTTGGTGCGAACCTAATAGGCAAATTTCTGATGAAAAACTCTACTGGAAAAATAACTTTCATTAAAATCAAGAGTAAAACCGTCATTCAATGTTTTATATTCTTCAGACAGTTCCCATTGGGTAGACATTATAATAACATATAATAACATATAATAACATATCAGCGGACCTATTACAGGTGTGGTGGTGATTCCGGCATATCAGACGCGCATGTGGCGTGGTCAGTATGTTGTTTGCGTGGCTCCACGGACCGCCGACCTCATCCCCAATGACAATAACACCTGTTCATCTTCCCATCTGCTGTCGGCGCACTCTATCACTATGCCTGTATTTATGACCCTCCGCGACAACAGTTCCCCTCACAGGCTGTTCCTTGTCCAACTATAATCACCACCTACTCTGCTGGGAACATTGTTTCCCGGCATCGGCGCAATTTCCCCTCGAGGTACTTCTCCATTCGCACATAATTTGTACTCCATGAAAACCTGATTTTTCGCTGACGCCAAGAGGACGCGCATGCCTGTGTATTCGCATGATCCCGTGTGATCTCACAAACCAAGTTCTGTGCAAGTATCCGTGGGGGTTGATCTAGATTAGCTTGGGAAATTCCCTCTTTAAATTCCCTTTTTACAGACGCCCAGTAATCCTAATGCGACAACCTTTAATGACTGTTCAATTGTATTGGCTTCATAAATAGTACGGTGCCGGGAATTGCTGGGCAATACGTTAAAAGCGCGAGGAAAACATGCATGTGAAAAAATCGTACAATTATATGAAGAGCACTTATTGTTATTGCCCTGCCAAGTTTTATTACCTTGTCGCACAGTCACAATTCGTTATCTTGTCACACTGTCACAATTCTTTACATTAGTTTATTGTCACAATTCGTTGTCTTGCCACACTGTCACTTTAGTTTACTGTCACAATTAGTTACCGTGTCGCACTGTCACATTTCTCTACCTTGTCGTCGTTGTCACGTTTCGCTACCGTGTCGCACTGCCACGTTGTATTACCTGAACGTCAATGTTTTGTTGGGTGACATTAATGTTTGGTGCTGCTTGCTCGCAGACACATACCGATGCTTTAGCGGGGATTGCATCAACCACCGGTGGGTGTGCGATGGCAAGGCTGACTGCAGAGACGGATCTGATGAACTCAGCTGTAGAGGTAAGTGCATTTACGTACATGTACTACAGTGTATATATCCATAGAATATCTAGTTTACAGATTCGTTCATGGTGATGTATACAACACGTTGTTGTGACACAACGCTAGTGTCCCAGCGACGCGTAAACTATGTCACATAATACGTTACGCTGTAGCAGTCAGTATTAATATATCATACTGAACACGTCGACCTACCGTAGCTTTGCGGAAGGGATCCTCCATGGTCGAAGATGAAATTGTCATTATCTATGATCGTAAATGTCACATAAATGTGCTTTAACGTGTGTGGGCGAGAACGCGCGTTGTAACATCGTCGTTCGCGGTAGGCAAAGAACCGTTTTTCTTTACGATTCTTAAACGTGTAATTATATTGTAAAATCACGTTTGTCCCAACGCGTCGTTGTCACCGTGTTACGCCTGTCCTAGTTAACATCGTGACAGCGATCACAGCCTTAACGAGGTGGTAGTCGTTTAACTGTCAGGTGCCTCCTGGGGGTCCACCTTGCGTGCTTAGAATGATACCTCCAGGGTGCGGCCTTGAATTTTCCGAAATTAAATGAAATGAAGTGTCGAAGGGAATTGTCATGCTTCGAAGACGATTTTCGGTCGCATGATATATTCGAGTGTATTTCCGGTAAGCTAAAGTATACATGCATCGAGTGCTTCGACTGTCACATACTTATCATAAGCATGATCCTGTCATTGAAGAGTTGCGTGCTCCGTGTATGATCCCCGCTATGTGCAGTGCATGAACAGACAGCTAGGATGACAGCCTTTATCCGTGCGTGTATGTAATTTACTGACGATTTAGATGATTAATGGCCAGCGAGACGTAACTGATGACTGCAATTATGCAGAGGATGTGTGCTAACCTCCTCACGGAACAACCACCGAGACTACGCGTGTAATCTAGGCCACATTCGTAGCAGGATATTATTTGCGCACTGCTTTTGCAGTTTTTCCCTCCTCGTTTGAGCTCACATGCAGGCCACATTCCATTATATAATATATTATATTATATATATATATACTAATTATACTACTATATATATATATATATATATATATATCGTGGATCGCATTGAGTCTAGACTTTACTGCGTTGAGAGGAAGTGTACAAACGTAATTATACCTTTGGCTTTTATTTAGTGGTTGTCTCTAAGACATTAATGGCACCATATTAACTTCTTAAAAGATTAAACTTCCATTCCGTTGTTAGCCGAGCAATTTTTGGGTAAGTGTGCTAGTGAAAAATTTTACCAGTTGCCGTAGACATAGTATAGTCGTATACATACAGCGATGACCAGAGAAGTAAAAAAAAAGTAAAGACAATTTGCATCGGCGTGAATTAAAGTGGCCAGGCAAGCGGCTACGTCAGCATGTAGCAATAAGAAATAATTGAGGGAGGCTCCACCGCATGTGGTTGAGGAAATCTTACCATGGGTGATAAGGCGTCGTCAATAAACGAGGAGCAGTGCAATGCTATTATGATTACCTATTTCTATATGACTTGACGTGAACGCACGCCTAGGTATGTGACGGACACTGCGCGTGGCTCATCTAAATTAGTTATTCTCTCATTTACATTAGTTCTACCAGGGGTCAACTGTTGGAACGTTCGTAAAGTTAGCACAATTCATAGGATTATGATAAGACTTACGAAGATTTAGTATATTCCAGTACTAGGCCTATGTAGGATTAGTATAGACGTATATACAACTATAGTTGCGATTTGCTCACGGTTTAGGGCATTCCACTATAACCAAAGAACAAATCATGAACGTAGTCATAGTCCGGACAACGTCCTCCTGCCCTCACGCGTTAGTTTGTTAGTGTTGAGTGCTTTGTGGTTTCAGATGGCAGCTGCATGTTGTACGAGAAGGGCATAGAAGGTATTGTCAGCTCACCCAACTACCCGAAACCCTATCCACCCAACGCCGATTGCCGCACTGTTATAGAAGGACCCGTCGGAACAAAGATAGAACTGCAGGTAGGATTTCGGTGCTGCCTGTAACCTTACATAATGATATGTGTGACATTAGTATACTGATAAATTATGCGTGTTCGGGACCGGTTGGGACAAGACATAGTTGTTCTGCATCGTCACGAATTCGAACAGGTGGCTAGGCCATGTTGCCTATGCATGTCATCGGGAACTGGTACACGTTATAACCTGTACTGGGACCGTAACCCTGATGAGAGAACGTGCAAGGTTCATTTATCAATCACCGAAAAACTTAAACCCCTCTGATACGCTCTTCTGGTGACATCGAATACAATAATGACTGGGGTGTAATTATCAGATTGCCCCCGGGTTGTTTAGGAAGTCTAGATTTGCAACACACAATGAGACTTCACAACCTTCTTTCGTTGCCCCCTTGCTAACCATGCGGAATCGGGTTGCATGTTTAGGCGAATGCGATTTGAAGTTTGGCGTTAAAATTTAGAGTTTGAGGCGATGTGACCAAAGCTTCCGTCAGCTTTGCTCTTCTCACGATGAAATAAAACAGTCTTGAAGTCTGCCAGTCATTTAGCACATCTTTCACTGCAAACATACTTAACAAATGCCTGGAAAAGTTTACAAGTTTATCAATGTAACGCGCAGTGGCTTAGGATCTTACACGAACGTGTCGGTTCGAGCATGTTTTGTCCCACCGGGTAAATCTCGTTTGGTTCACATGATGTATAATGCGCGTTTTAGAAGCAGGCACCCGGCGTGTAAGTCTTGCAACCTTTCTACCGAGGCACATGCGAGGGGCAGACGCGCGGTTTTGCCAGAATGGCATTTAATGGTTTTTACCCGCGCATCAAACTGGTTTTGGGTGTCTATCTCACGCGTATGTATAATTGCACGGCTGTGCGGCGAGTGTAAAACTCTAAACGGTCGGTGGTCTCGTTGGCGTGCGTTGGCCTTTTTACACGCCTGCAATTGTGCGGGCGTACATAATTCCCATACAGGTTGTGACATGGCAGTAAAGTCATGGGGATCACCATTGTAGTCAGAATATTATGTTGATATCCAATTGATAGCTATTTACAATATGCGCATGAAGAACTTTCGTTATGACAGCGCCCTTGTTGAAAAATATACTGGTTCTATAGGCTTTATCATATATTATAAGACTAATATTTTGACATTTGAATTTACTAAACTTAATTAACCATGCTAAATATTATTGTTCAAAGTAACAACATGGTTAACTGCCTCACATCTTTTTAGTGATAACCTTTCAGTTTCCGATGACTATTAATGTCTATAAGTAATACTCGTTCAAGACAGCTTAAAATTGAAGAGTGTCCACAAGTATATTCCTAGAGTATATACAAAAATAATCGAAAAAAAACCTCGACCAATTAAAAAAATATTGAAGATCGTGTAGGCGATACGATTAACTACGTCACCGCATCAAGCTTGTTTTCGACACTACGCGGATCTATGCGACTGGCGATACCTAACGATTGATTGTTTGCTGTATTAACGCATGTTCGTGTCTACAGTTCACGCATCTCGAGACGGAAAAGGGCCTTGACTACATCCACATCCTGGGCGGCAGTCCGATGGATCAGCTCAGCTACACGCTAGCCATGAACTCGGGCGACGAACCGAACGTCAGCGACATGAAATACGTCAGCTACAACAACTTCATGGTGATCAAATTCCGCTCAGACAGCAGGGTGCAGATGAAGGGATTCCGGGCCACCTGGCGGGCAGGTGAGTAATCAATCGATTATAGCGCCACGGCAGCAACTTCACGCGGGTTATCTGCATCCTCCCTTGATAATTAAACAAGAAAGAAGATGTAGTTAGTAAATATATACTTTAGTTCGCGTTTCCCGTTCCTATGTGTCCATAACATGCAGGAGAGAGAGAGGTAGCCCTATCATTTAATGTAATTACTATGCAGGGCTGGTGCGAACTGATTCATCTTCTGGTTCCCATTTCGCTATTATAATTCATGCGACATTAATCATCTGCCAAAAAACAATAATTGTTGTATTTACCCTGCAGTTAAGGCTGATTGCGGAGAAACACAGCTGGTGTCTACCCAGGTCAAGCAGGACCTGTATTCACCCTTCTATCCGGACACCTACTATAACGGAATGGAGTGCGTCTATGTTATAACTGCGCCAGGAGAGGACCTCATTAGTCTAGAGGTAATGACGCACGCTAATTACCAATTTCAGCAATCGGTGAGGTTAAAGTACTGAGATACAATCAAGGAATAATATTGGCAAAAGTGGAATGCTAAAAACCATCAATGCTGTTTGAATCGAATATCAAACGAGGGCGATCGGTATTCCTGTCGTATTGCTATGCGTCGTTTATCTTATTTAATATCCGTGTATTTCACGTGTCTATATCAGCTTTATCTGCTCTTTATTGGTGTGATATAGGTAGGCGTAGTGTCTAATGTGTGCGGCTCTGTGTTGCGCATATTATAAACATTGCCTGACCATGATCTGACTTGATATCTATAGGCTTCGTATGTGATAATCGGATCTCAGTGTCACGCTCGTACTCGCTTGCTTCTCAACTTGCCACGGTATCTTTATCGTTTATTGTTTCATAATTATACGTCTATACATTCACACCGCATCGCCTGTTATGCGAACCTCGTCGGTTCTCAACTTGACTTCTGCTTGACAAACTGAATTTTGATATCTGCGAGCTTAGCGTCGCATTATCTTTCTCTCTCTTTCCCCCCTCTCTCTCTCTCTCTCTCTCTCTTTCTCTCTCTCTCTCTCTCTCCCCTCTCTCTCTCTCTCTCTCTCTCTCTCTGTTTGTGTCGCTATCGTCTCAAACCTCTCATACGCTCTCTATCTTTACAGCTCATCGATCTAGACCTGGAGTTCGTCAACGACTTCCTTCAGGTGCGAGACGGCGGCTCCGTCGACTCGCATCTACTCTACACCTACACGGGCCGCAAGGGTCCCACCTTCACCATCTCTACGGGACCAAAGCTGTACCTGTACTTCTCCACGGACACGACCATCAGACAGAAGGGCTTCCACATACAGTACCACACCGGTGAGGGGACGCGCAGTGTATATGCTGCGCTCGAATAGATGCTTTGATTTAAATTAAATTAAATTAAATGAAAACGATTTATTTTCGCTTAACATATTTACATAAAGAAGACAAAATTGTAATAGGCAATAGAAACACTGCAATGAAGGATGAATAGACTGTACAGTCACTGTTACGGGCCATCAGAACTGTAGACACTCGTTCGGTTACTGAGCTAACCTGAAGTTTCCCACTATCAGGAGATGAGCAGCACCTATTAACTACCAGCGGCAATGTGTTTAATAAAAACATTTATTTCTTTAGCTCGTTTTAACAAAAGATGCTCTCTCTCTCTCTCTCTCTGCCTCTCATCTCGGTAGGTTGTAACAACGTCATCACGGCGGAGTCTGGCAGCTTCGCGTCGCCTGGCAACTTCGTTGTCCGCTATCCGTCGTCGCACACGTGCATCTGGAAAGTGCAAACACCTGCCGGTCAACCTCTCTCCATGTTCTTCGACAACTTCCGCGTCGCCGAAAACGACTTCGTCGAGGTGAGTAGGAGACATTACGCGAAACTTAAATTGTAATGTAATCAGGGGTTAATAATGACCAAAAAAATCGTCATTATTAACCCTTGATGTAATTGAACTTATAGTGTATAATTATAATAATTACATTCATATCAATAATTCATTAATGAATTAATTGTATAATGTTTGTTTGAAATTAGACAATTATTTATATACTATAGTATTAATCTATTTAGAATACACATACATAAATACGCACACACGCACATACGCACACACACGTACACACACACGCGCACACGCGCGCACACACACACACACACACACACACACGCACACACACACACACACACACACACAC